TACATCAAATTATGACTCTCAACGACTGAAATTTCAGATTCTGAAATTATAGTCGTTGTGAAGTTAAGGGGCCTCAAATATTATATCCATATTGGTCTTAGATCCAACAGAATGTGATGAAATTTGCGAACTATCTGTCACACAAGGAATTCCTTGTAGATATCAGCGATGCAATATTGTGATTCGCTTTTGTGACATCAACTGCCATGAATGCGACATCTCATAGATGTTTGTGTTAACTGGGATCGGTGGTTAAATTTAAGTCTAGGAACCACCTTTAATGGCTCGAATAATTATACAATCTTTTGAAACTAGTGAGGTGGGGTTTTGGAGACTATGGTTCAATATCCGAATACAAAAATGTACCCCAAATATCATAATGAAATTCAGAAAAGCCTAAATACTTTTTTCTACGGCTATAACACAAATTGCTATTGTTTTACTATGTTCGATACATCAATAAAGTACTTTCTATGTCATCAATTTTATTTCTGTATCTGATATCACAATGCCCCCATCTTGTTATCATTTCGAAAAAATCTCATCGCCCATGGGATGTCAAGTTTCAAGCAATGACTGCTCTGTCTAATAGATGAGCATTACTCGAGAGGAAATCTGATGGCTACAAGACGAAGATATCCAGAATGTCGCTGTTATCAGTTACAGCTGTAGAAAAATCATTGTGTATAACTCGCATGGAATGCTAATTTTCCACTCGAATGATTGCAGCATTGTTCTATGGATCATGCTGCAAACTTCATTTTCGTGGGAAATCATTATCATTCTATGATCGTTAAACAATATACTAATATCGGAAACTTTCCATCTGTCGGTAGGTTAATCGAGGAGGTAGTACAGTCGTCTCCAGAGAACATGTTGCATATGGACGGTGTCAGCACTCTCAATTATTACCATTGCGGTAAGAGCGCTCTTACCGTCCAACCGCGACATGTTCACTGAAGACGAGTGTACATTTATTTTACTTGATTATTTGGGATTTTACCTCCCTGTTCCTATAAATTGACAGAAATTCACTTTTCTTTTCAGGCACCCACTGATGATATGCCACTGATTTCTTATTCCAAGTGATATAATTTATTTGAAAATGTACCTACTTAGTATTATAATGTACTTCGTTGGTATGTATGAACATATAGGTACCAACTGGCCATCGACCTCGGGAGAGGTCCTTCAGCCCATGTGTGTTCTGTGTACACTTTGTTACTTACTCCATACGCCGCCTTAGAAGCAGCAATGCTAATGGGAACGCAACAGCGAATCGTACGGAATCATCTCCGGCCGGGGTTACGAAAATTATAATTAATAACTCGCTTCATTCATAAAGATCATCTGCTCCGTTATAGATTCGAACTAGCAACTTTTCGATGTTCTGATTACTAGTGAAGGGCCTCAGCCACTGCGCTATTCGGCTGTAATTATTCAAATAATCATACCAAATTGCCGATATTCACATCGGTGAATTGTTCTATGCCGTTTGAGTTGTTTTTCATGTAAGTACATGTTAACTAAATGAAAGCATTCATTATTATAATTTATATATAAGCAAAAAAAGTAATAATGGTTATCATGCAAAAACGCATATATTCAATGAACAATGATTATGTATTATGTAATACATTCTCACTTTGAACGTAAAAAATTATACTTAGTTTCTTTCATTGCGAGTTATTGATTGAACAAAAAAGTTCCTGATTACCCAGTAGCAGAGTGACGCCAGATTTGTTCACTCATACCTGCTAGCACACAACTTCCTAGAAACGTCCCTATATTTAGTACAATTCAAGTCCTACTGTCTCGGATCAAAAATAAGTGTCCTTGGGACGTCCCATTCCGTACATCTCATGCAATGTCGGAAAAAGGAGGTCTACGGAATGTCTCAGCTGGTACATCATTTCAAATGTCCTAGAAATAGCATCCCTTAAACGTCCCACGTGGTACATATTGTAGAATGTCCATGCAAGGACGTCCTTGGAATGTTCCTGATGGGATATGATTTTAAACGTTCCTTTGGGGACATCCATCAGATGTCCCGATGTCCCAGATGTATTCTGACATGACTTCAGATCTTATATCCCTCATGTCTCTTCTAGACAACCATGAAATGTCCCTGATAGTACATTCCTTCAAATATCCCTGGATCCTAGAAATAACGTCCTACGGAAGTTCCTGTTAGTAATTTCAATGTGTTGCCCCTGTAAGGACGTTAACTTACAGCTCGCCGACGAATGATTGCTCGAAGGCTATAAATACTCCTCGTCAATGTCCTTCGCGTAAGTCCATTGGACATCCTTGGGAAACTTTTTCAGGATCTATTGGGGACCTTATACGGACCATCACATCAACTGGATGTTCTCATCAGTTATGCAAGATCTGATCCTGGAGGGACCCAGAAAAATTCAAATTCAAGAATAATTAGTACGTCCCTGGGACATGCAATGGACATCCTATTGATATCCCTCAGCGTTGCTGATAGCTTGTCCTACGGATGTCCTAAGGATGCCCTCGGTAGTGTCCCATGGAAAACCCTCAAGGACGTCCCTAGTTTGTCCTCAAGTGGGACATTTCTGCGTTCCAAAGACGTCCAATGGACGTCCACGGTATCAAATTCGAACGTCCTATGGACGTCCTGAATGTCCCGACAGGACGTCCTAAGGCTATCCATGGGACATAATTGTGTTATTAGGAATGTAATCACACTTTAGCTTTTTTCACTTATAATTACACGAGAGATTTTTGATCGAAGTTAACTTGACATTTCAATGAGGATTTTGTTTCCAGGAAATTTAACGAAAAAAATTGCCTTCAAAAAAACTCCGTGATTCGTAGGTTCGGTTTTGCCCCGGAAAAACTTAGGAGAAAGTTGGTCTCATAACGACAAAACCTAGCGGCTTATGGGATTTTTTATATATGAATGAGAATGTTGTTGCATGACATTTTTCTGAGTTCAATTGTCTCAGGGCAACAAGGGTCAAATTATGAATGTGAAGTTTACTGCGATCCAAAAAAGAACTTGTGGGTAATACTTTTCTGACAACTCAAGTGTGAGAAAACAGTCATAAACGCAATCAAAGATTTGTTTACAATAACTTTGGTTATCATATAATTTGAAATGCACTCGAAAATATGACGAGTCCGTTGAATCGAATTTTCTAGAGGGCAACTATTATAAAGTATGGTATGTCACACCACTAGCTGCGCCATTAGTGTTTCAAGTCGTATGGAAGACTGAGATTCGATATCTCTGGTGGACATCAGAAGATCAGGAGATCACGGAGCCCAGAGGTTTGGCTAGAAGAATTAGAGGAGACAGGCACACCAAGAGCTGTTATGACTTTGGGGCTATGTATGTTTTTGTTTAACAAATATTAGTTAGTCTATAGGTCTACAGTTCATAGTTATTTTGTTAGTTAGTTGATCATCGTTATTTTTCATGATATAATCAACAACGCCGCCACGTTGTCGTCTTCTTCCATTGTTTTTATTCGCTCTTTATTCATGAGCTTTCCGATAACTTTATTCTTCATCATCAGTTATATTCACACTAGATTCAGAACGTACGTCACAGTTTTCCGCACCGGCGGCAAATTTTATTTCACAAAAAAATTAATGGACAACGAACTTGGTTCCTCCACCAATCCAATATGACGTTCTATATGGAATTAACATTCACACAGAGTTAAACCCCTGTGTCATTACGAAATTGCCAACATCATCAATGTATCAAGATTTTTGGAAATTGTTCTTTGAATACATAACGACGATGGTATAATTATAGGCTTTTCAGTCCTACTTCGTCGAGACTCATGAAATATTTTCATTAGTCCCTTATTTGCTGATGAAGTTGATTACTAACAAAGATAAATTTTGAAATTTTGCATAAGTATCTATAATTTCTCACTCTTATCATATTACAATATGATAATCATAACTTGTCAGTAATTTTTTTTAATGAATCTGTTCTTTTGTCTAAGAAAATTGCAGATTATATCTCGCAGCAGCGCTTAATACTTTGAGCCCGTCCGTATGTTTTTTGTTTACCAGTTATTCGTTAGCCCATGTCTACAGTTCATAGTTATTCTGTAAGTTAGTTAATCATCGTTATTTTTCATGATATAATCAACAATGACGCCACGTTCTCGTCTTCTTCTATTGTTTTTATTCGTTTTTTATTCGTGAGCTGTTCGCTAACTGATTTCTTCGTCATCAGCTATATTCACACCTGAGATTCACACTAGGTTCAGAACGTACGTTACAGTTTGTTGACCAGAAAATAAGAAATTTCTTTATTTTGAAAATAAAAACGGTCTCGTCTCGAGTCTCGTGCAAGACTTCTCGTATCTCGTGCGGGAGTCTCGCAGGTAAATATTTCTGCGTGCCGACTGCATACTTGAGAATTTCATTCATGATACAACATATTCAGGAAGAATTCAGACTATTCAGCACAGAAAGACAAAACATTTGATTCATATATACTTCAAAAACACAATCCATGATTGTTGTAAAACGATGTAATGCGTGAAACGAAAATGGACTATTCTCTCTCTTACGGCGGAATAATGTTAGATCACAGTTTTTGTTTCGTTCATTCGTTCAGAATATATGTGTTACTTTTTATTTTATTTTTATAACTTTCTTGTTCGATGTATGATGTAAGTATGTACCTATTATGTACTAAATTTTCAATAAATAATGTTTTTTTTTGTTGTGATTTTCTTTTCCTTCTTCTACATTATACCTAAAGAGCAGGTAAAGGAAAATATTCCGTACTAGACTGGAACAAGATTATGCATGACGAAATTGCGATACATTTGAGGCTGCGAGACGAGACTTGAGACAAGACTTCATATTTCATTGACGAGACGAGACGAGACTTTATGAAAGTCTCGTTGGTCTCGTGTGAATCACTATCCACGGCCGACCAAATGATCACCAAAGTTTCCGTTTGTTCAACATTTCTGTTGTTAGAGAAAAGGAGGGATGGGACGTTATTCACGGAGATCCCAAACCCAAAACGACAAACGGTTTATTAATCAATGGTACGCCCATGGGGGGCGTTTTCCATTACTTTTCCTTCTAAACGAACGGACAAATACGAATTAGTCGTGCTCTGCCTACTTCTGGCGACACATTCGAATCAAAATAATAATTATGATCCAATTATTGATCATTGGTATTGTATTTCTCCTGGGAGTATTCATGGTGGTTGTATGTGTGATATTGAGTAGTCCAAAATGTACTAGTAAGGTTTGTTTAGTAGGAAAAACAGCTCTTGTGACCGGTGGAAGTTCAGGTGGGTAGTTTCATACTTGTTATTCGAAGTAAATAAGGTCAAATGCCTCTCAATTTGAAAATAATTTTTTTTCTGAAACGGGAAAAAGTTCCATCTCTGTTGACAGGCTATAAAATGTCACTTCGTGTCACTTTTTATAAATTACTTTTTTCCCATGGAAAAAAAGTGACTTCTTTTTTCCCGGATATATATTACATGTATACAAGGTGTTTTGAAATAAGTACATATAATCAGCACATCGATATGATTCAGTCTAACGAATATTTCCATGATATCAGATTTCTTCTAATTCTCCTAATCAAGGAGAAATTTCATACCAAAAATTGAACAAAATACGAGAAAAAATCAATTAGGCCACTTCAAAACAATTCTAATCATTGAACTCCCCGTGATTGTGCCTTCCGCACGAACATTTGAACAGAGGTGACGTCAGAATTGGCTACAGTGTGGAACTTTGGGTGGAAAAAGGGGTCTAACCTCAAATTTTATTTTAATCCCTGAATTTTTTTATTAGTGCCATTCGATAGTCCACGTCGAGCTTTCTCAGTGTTTGAAATATTTGCACTTATTTCAATGCCACCCTGTATACACTGTTGATGACTTTTGTTGTGCGATACTTTCGGAAAATAAGCCAATCACCGGCTACGAGAAAGAACGGTAAGTCCTTTTGTCTTCCATTCGACTTCGGGGTACGTAAATTAATAAAAAACCAATGAATTCGCAATTTTTAAAAATCAAATTACAGAATCAGACTGGCAGATATTTTATTACTTCAAAATAATGATAAAGATGCGTGCAACGCAGGTGTCATTCCACTTCGAATTTCACGTCGATAATAATTTTCTGATTTCAGTATAATGTAATATCTTCTCAATATTGATTCGTCTTTCTTCCTGTCACAAAAAAAATAGTGTATTATATACGGGAAAAATACTAGATTTTAGCTCACGGTTTTTTGTCTGACAACACAACCTGGAGCTAAAATCTACTTGTATATAATAAATAACTATTATTACATCCTGATATTATTCAGTTCAACACTATATCATCTGAGTCAACACGGAGTAACAGAATATAGATATTTCCTATATCTAATTTATATTCTTTCATTTCAACAAAAATATTTCCCATAGGAAATGTACCAAATTAAATACACTCACCGGTTAAAAAACGGCCATCTGAAAATTTGCACAAATTGTTCACCCAGTAAATTTTTTAATCCTTGTCCGATTTTCGTTAGATTTCATTTGAATTGTAGATTTTTGTTCAGGCATGTTAGCCTGGATATTATAGTTTCCGCGAAAAGCTGAAGACTTTATCATTACACAGGGAAAAACCAAAGTTCATATTTCACCTTTCACTTCTCAACGCCTTGTGATGGCATAAATGACTCATTGAACTTGACTTAATTATGCTTTGAATTGAAGTGTGATCCTTTTTTAACAAAATCGTTTTTTATTCACTTCAGTATCTCATTTTTTAGGAAAGATGCAAGTGTTTCAAGAAAGTGTGACATTTTTCCATTCCATTAACAATAATAAGAATCTATATAAACATCGACAAACAACGAAGAATCATTATCACTTATTTCTACCTCATTTTCTTAGCACTTATATGAAAAAAAACTTCAGCATTCAACTGCTGTGCATCGAGTTGATCAAATTTCTCAAGTAGACTTGAAGAATTGTCTAAAATTTTGTTTGAAGGGCGAAATGTAGCTCTTGAATAAGAGTCTCTGACAAGGCCGGACGAAGGCGAATGAGCCTCTAGAGTTCATCCTTGAGATGCTCTATAGGTTCTAAATTATTGTTGTATCTTCTCTATCTTGTATCTTCTCATAAAAAAATATACTGACGTAAATCTAGAACCATTGTGTAGACGAAAAAGGAATACACTCCAATTCAAAACATGATGAAGAAGAAGGTTCGAGAATGGTTCTGAAATATTGTTTAATAATAAAAATAATCCTTACTCAATTGGAACACTTCTCTTGGTTATCGATGTGAATCAAACACCATTATTGTGTTCAGAAAGGATCACTCTTCAATTCAGAACATAATGAAGCTGAGTTGAAACACTAACCTTCACCACAGGGCGTTAAGAATAAGTTGAGGATGGAATAGTCTCCTTTGTATTTCCCTGTATGATGATCATCAGCTTTTCTTAGGACCTAATATTGGGGGCCAGGTAGCCGTGCGGACAGAGTGTCTATATTCTAATTCGCATTCGCTTGCCGGTCGTGGGTTCGATCCCCGTCGACTGCAGAAATTTTTCTGATGGCCCAAGAAAGTGTTTGGGATCACACGTTAAAAGGTAAGACCCCCGTCATTCCTTGCTCGCACAAGACTTTCGAAGACTTTTGAGGGTTGCTCGTAAGGGGGCAACCGAATGACGGATAGAACAAATTTTAGAACAAATTTTAAAACAAAAAATATTCCGGCTAACACGAGTATACGATTGAGTCGAAATTTCATCAAATTCGGACAAGAATGAAGAAGTTACATGGTGAACAATTTGCAACATTTTTTGGTGGCCATTTTGTAGTGTATAAGTTGTATAAAACTATAATGAACCCATCTGACTGAAAGGAATGCTTGAACTCTCAAGATAAGTTGAAATTGAATATAAATAAAATGAAGTTATTTCTATGAATAGACTATTCAGTCGCAAGGAATACCTATGATAATATCACACTGAAACATCGTCTTGGAGACCAATCATATAAAATGTCCTGAGGGTTCCGCGTTGTGGAAATGAACATCCATTCAGGATTGCGTGTCTCTCATCTCAATTTCCTCGCGAATTCAATTCAATATTATATCGAGAAGTTGATATGGAATGTTTATTCTTACTACTATGTCAATAATCTCAGATCATATTTTTCGAATATCAAATTTGTGACATTATTACAAATTGGAATATTAATTATTCAAACAGCTTCTTGAAGGAGATATCTCATCAACTTCCTGTGATATCTATTCGATGCATTAATTATCACTGTTCCACCTGAATATTAATTTCTTCTTTACTCTAATAATGATGGAATTGATCATGATGATAATGTAACTATAGAAATATTACTATCAATAAAATGAATGCATGGGTGTGTCCGTAATTCTACAGCTATCAATATACAAGGTGGAGAAAAACTACTGATATGAGAGGTGTAGAATTTTATCTGTACTATATTTTAGCTCTCCATAAACGAACAAATGCGAATCGCAAAATAATAAAAAAAATAGTACATATCAGTTTTTTAAATGAATCATAAAATAGGTATAATTTGCTAATGTATTATCAAGCTATTTTTCACTTATTTAGCATTGAATTAAAGTTGCCATTAACATTTAGATGGCTGTGAACACAACAGCACTGTTCTATCTATGAAAATGGGTTATTTCGTATATGAAAAATATGAAATAGTATGTGACTTTATCATGGAAATATTGTGAAAATTTTGATAGTATAGATACAGCAAAAAATCAGATGAAAACTGCTTAAGAGGACATTTTCAAACATTACTGTATATTTGTGAAGAGATTGAAAAAATATTTCACTTGAGGTAAAACCATACAGGGTATAGCAGTTTGAAACAACTGATTTGGAATTTCTATTTATTTTGCGATTCAAATTTGTTTATTCGAGATATGCCATCGAAAGATGTTATACAGATGGAAGCCTACAACTTTCATATTCGAAGTTTTTTCCACCTCGTATATAGTTGAAGCTGTAGGTGGAAGTCAATAAATATGGAGACACCCTGTAGATGTATATAGGTATTACCATAGATCAAAGACTCCCAGAATAATGATTCATGGTAGTAGTAATACAGACACAGATACAGATGATAAGCAATTAATAATGTACACAGGCAGGTGTAGACTCTGAAATTTTTATTTTGCTTTTCTCCGAACATTCTTCTCGTTCCGAATATTTATTTGTTTTGGTTAAAAATCTTGAATCAATAATAATGTGAGCAGACGAGGTCGAGACAAAAACAAAGTCAAATTCCAAATCCGGTTTTGGTTTATTCATTTTTGATCATCATGCATAATTTTAGCACCATATGAAAACAAGAGGCATCAGGCATTCCATCGGTACAAAAATCAGATTCCGAAAAAAATATAACAAATAATATATCTATATATAATATAGAAAAAATAATAAATTAGGATTTGTCTCGCTTTCACCCTGTTAAACTTTTGATATGGTCTGTGAAAACACCTCATTCTGGCATTTTTTTTTTCGACTATTCCCCTGTTGTTCTCAAGAACCAATCTGAAACGACCATCTTCACGGTGTCTTCTGTATTTCAGAGATTATTCTTGTCAAATACTGTCTGTAGGTTAATCGAGGAGGTGGTACATTCATTATTCCTTATTTTTGAGATTTTCTCTCCTCGTTTCTATAAAATAAAAATATGAATATTATTTCAATATACGTGTATTAAGGACAAATCAGATGATTGGCCCCGAAATGTCACTGCGTTTAAAGAATTTTCCTATCAGAGAGCCTAAAAAAAAATTCACTAGCTTGTCAGTGACAATTTGTATTGAAACATTTTTGGAGAAGAGAAATAAAGGTATATAGAAAAATAATCAAATTTTCACTTATCTTTGGACGTTTCGGGACCGATTCGCTCCCGTTTTCAACATGAAGAGATTTTTTCAATTGCGAAGTCGTATAATAATATGTCTTGAAGCTGTTCAGTTTTCAATGACAATTGGTGACGTTGGCAATAAAAAGAGTTACAGGATGTTTTCATTAATTAATCTCGAATTTACCATTTTCATGTTCAGATTTTAGTAGTGAATACCATGTTCTGTCTATATCAACTGAACAAGAAGCAATGCTATTGTCTCCGTTCAGAAGAATGCAAGCAGATTCCTTGATTTTTCTCTTCTGGTTGTTATCTTCTTTTCCAATGATTTTAATATCATTCCACTCTGCCATATGTTGTCCGTCTTTAGTAAGGGTATGTTCAGCTAGTTTCGATTTAT